AGGAAGACTTAACACTGTCAAATTGTCAATACTGCCTAAAACAATTTACACATGTAATGCGATCCCAGTCCAGATTCCAAGGACATTCTTCAAAGAGATGGAATAAACAATTATAAACTTTATATGGAAAAGGAAAAAGACTCAGAAAAAGCAAAGCACTGCTTAAGAATAAGAATAAGGTTGGAGACCTGTCACTTCCTGACTTCAAAATTTACTACATGTCTACAGTGGTCAAAACAGCTTGGTACTGGTACAATGAAAAGTACATAGATCAATGGAACAGAATCAAGAATCCAGAAATTAACGCATCTACATACAGCCAACTGATTTTTGACAAAACACCTAAATATATCGCATTGGGAGGTGATAGTCTCTTCAACAGATGGTCCTGGCAGAATTGGAAAACGATATGCAAAAGATTGAAACAAGACCTTCACCTCATACCATATACAAAAACCAACTCAACATGGATTAAGGACCTAAATGTGAATCCCAGAATTATGAAGACCATCAATGAAAAACTCAGGACAAACATGAGGGAACTAATTCTGGGAATACACAGACTACAGATCATTTTGAAAACCACACAAACAAAAGTAGATAAAATAGATGAGTGGGAAATACTAAAAATTCAAAACTTATGTACATCAAAAGACTTCCCCAGAAGAGTAAAATGGGAACCCACAAAATGGGAAACAATCTTTAGCAATGACACATCAGACAAGGGACTCATTTCTAAAATATATAGGAAACTACAACACCTCTACAAGAAAAAGACAAATAACCCAATTAAAAAGCAGGCACAGGACATGGATAGACACTTTACTAAGGTAGAGATCTGGGCAGCCAACAAACAAATGAAGAAGTGTTCACGATCACTAACCATTAGAGAGATGCAAATCAAAACAACAATGAGATATCATCTCACACCAACCATAACAGCAAAGATAAAAAATGTAGAGAACAATACATTCTGGCGGGGATATGGCGAAATTGGACACTCCTGCATTGCTTGTGGGACTGCAAAATGGCCCAACCTCTCTGGAAAGCAATATGGCATTTCCTCAGAACGTTGAAAATAGAAGTACCTTATGATCCAGCAATTCCCCTACTTGGTATTTACCCACAAGACAAACGAGCCACAACATGAGAAGATATATGCACACCAATGTTCAAAGCAGCACTATTTACAATAACAAAAAGTTGGAGACAGCCAAAGTGCCCATCAACTGAAGAATGGATAAACAAATTATGGTACATACACACAATGGAACATTATGCTACCTTGAAGAATAACAAGGAAGCTGCAAGCCACCACCTAACATGGATGAACCTTGAGGACATTATGTTGAATGATATCAGTCAGTCACAGAAAGAGAAATACTGCATAGGAGCACTACTGTAAAAGACTAAGAAAAAGAACCCATAATAAAGGGGGGTGGGGGGAATTCGTTGTTGATTGCTGGGAAGTTGGGGGTGGGTGAGTGGAGGGAGGGGAAGGTGGAGCACAGGGCAGGGATTAGACGTAGGAAAGTTTGCGTGCTAGGGAGGGGGGCAGTATACAAGAAGGGAGAGGGGAATGGAAGAACAAAGCAGATGGAAGAACAATTAGGTTTGAGTGGGCTAAGTGGGACAGAGGTAAAGAATGATGTATGCACAACCTTGGAACTACAGGGCTCTGGGATACAGAGATTGAGACATGGTTGGAATGGGGAAAAGGGGGGAAAAATGGTAAGATGCTTGGCTGTCCTTTAAATCTTAGTTTTCCTTGCATTATATTATAAAATAGATGCTGGAGGGATAGGAAAGGAATAGCCAGAAACATCTCCATAGAAAGCTTGTGAGTCCGTATTCTGCCTATAACTTATTGGAACCCTAAAATGGGGCTACAATGTGCCCACTGAAGGAGGCTTCCTGCGGAGCCTCTGCAATACATAAGACTATAGGTAGAAGCCTGAACCGCATCCAGATCTCCAGAGATGGGAAATTTCCCCTTGAAAAGACGAGCAGACCAGCCTGGAGTGGCTAGAAGAACAGAAGATACTTCTTGAAAG